TACTACTTTTCTTGTCCGCCAATCACCGCGTCACTAAACAAGGATAGAGACTCGGGTGAAAGCATCTATCCTCGTCCGAAGTTTGACCATTCTTTCTGCACAGAAAAGATACGGGACGCGCAGTCTATTTCTTATATGTCTATGGTTTCTTACGACGGTTTCAGCCGCTGGTTTTAGCTAGTGTCCTTGGAATACAGAGTCTGGCCATCTCGGTAATATCTTTTCATTGGTTTACCCTTAAAATGGCGGCACCAATCAAAGTGCAAGCGAGAGCGCACATACATTTAAAGAATGATAAAAGTAAAATATTGGAAAACGAAGTTTTCAACCGCAAAATGTGTGTCCGTTGTATATTAATATTATTAATTACAATATTTAAAACAATATTTATACAACTAATATATATAATATNTGTAATANTTTATTAACATAATTTACAAAGCTCACCTCACATATAAAATAAACTTTTGTTAGATCCAAATCTATTCCAATATTGTCGATCCATTTTTGTCTTTTTTCTACATTTCTTGGCAGACAATGCATTGAATATTATTTCTCCATGAATTTGAANATTGAGGCACACAACAATAAGCATTGTTTATTCTGTAATTAAAATTTATGATTACAATTGACATTATTTTCAGGTTAAGAAAAAAATAATGAATATATTTAAATCTCCTGACAAATTTTATATTTCAAGTTTTATATATTGTATATTAATCAACTCTTATTTATTAGTTACTTTCTCTTTACGTTGTAATATTACATTTCAATAATAAAACTTCACTTTTCTAGCACATTTTTATGTTACGTTTTACTTGGATCTTACTACATCCCCACTACATTAGCACCCCCACTACCTTTAGACGCCATTTTAAGGGAGATAGCCAGACTCTGTATTCCAGGGACACTAGTTTTAGCCGTATTTTCACAAAAGTGGAACTTAAAAGCCGTTCTCCACGAAACTCAAGTCGCAGGTCTCGTGGAACTGATCAATCACGTTGGTCGATTGGCTGATTTGACTCTGCAATTGGTCAATTCCACGAGATCTGATACTTGCGTTTAATGTAGAACGGCCTTTGAGTTTCACTTTTGTGGAAATACGGCTAAAACCAGGGGCTGAAACCGTCGTAAGAAACTACAATGGCATGGCCGCTCTCAGGCTTCTCTCTGAAGGTACCTTATTTTACATCACGTATACTATAGTTTTTGGTTACCAAGATAGGATTTTGGAACCATTTGTGGATATGCGACGCGAATAAACCTTTATAAGGTCTGTTTTACAATACAGTCAAAAACTGTAAGTCGTAAGAAATTGACCAATTACAATCGAATATTCTTCTGTGATTGATCTGTGATCGGACAATGGTTACGTTCAGAAAACTCAAAGGTTGAGAGATTGTCACTTGTGATAAGATTATTCTTCAAAACCTGATATAGTTCCAAAAGTATGATCCAATCATAAGTGATTATCTCTCAACCGTTGTGCAACTGTTGAGTTGTCTGAACGCACCATAGAGCTTATATAAAAAAATCTATTATAAGATTATACATAGGAAGAAATTAAACCACGTGTCAGTTACCGATAACATCCACACAAAACGAACTAAATTTAAGAAGTAAAAAGACTAACGGACAGTGCTGCTTTAAGAGCCGTCTACAATGGAGAGTTGTAGGCCGTAACAGTAAGAAAGTGACAAATCACAATCGATTATTCTCTTCTGTACTTTGTCTGTGATTGGTCAATTTCTTACTATTACGGCCTACAACTCTCCATTGTAGACGGCTCTTAAGGGTCGTCTACAATGGAGAGTTTTAGACTGTAACAGTAAGAAACTGACAAATCACAATCGATTATTCTTCTGTACTTTGTCTGTGATTGGTCAATTTCTTACTGTTACGGCCTACAACTCTCCATTGTAGACGGCTCTTAAAGCAGCACTGTCCGTTAGTCTTTTCACTTCTTAAATTTAGTTCGTTTTGTGTGGATGTTATCGGTATCTGACACGTGGTTTAATTTCTTCCTATGTGTAATCTTATAATAGATTTTTTTATATAAGCTGAATAATTGTTAAAATGCCACGTTCTTTGAAAGATTCTGATGATGATGAAGAGGTGAAAGCAGGTTTGTATAAAAATTATAAGAATCGATATTTTTTCTAATCAGCACGTCTGGCAATCGTTTGCTTCAGCATTGAACATCTTGGAGTCGACTCTGTATCACGCAGTGTAGTAAAAATTACAAAAGTGAGCGAATTTACTAAAATATCTGTGATTTTATTAGTTGACAACTAGTAAATTTTCTCACTTTTGTAATTTTCACTACTTTGCATAAATACACAATCGATTCCCTAGTTTTATGATTATCGTTACACTACTATATTTTTTATATTTCTGTAATTTTAAGACTTTATACATATAAATCTTAGTTAACCTTTGAGTTGCGGTAGCTACTATAGTGGCCAGCAACAAACTCGGAATCTTTGTGCATGTCGGTAGGTTCTATATATGCGCAAATTTTACGTTAAAATATTCAAACTTTCAAAAGAAAAGTGCCAGCTCTCTAAAGGTTAAATATGTATATAATGTAATTATCAAATTAAATTAAGTTTATATTATTTCTAATACAGGTCGTACACATACTCGGATGTTGGCTGCGCAATCTACAATTAACTCTCCATTACGTCGTAGCAGCAGAATAAGACAAACTATGGAATCTGCATCTATAGAAACATTGAAAAGGACACAGTATACTAGAAGGACATCTGTTTCTTCTGACATTAGTGAGACACGAGATGTTGAATTTGGAACATCTAAAAGAACTACAAGACGCAGTGTAGCTACAACTTTTAGTCCATCTACCAGAATTACTCGAACATTAAGGTATGAATAATATATCATTATGTGTAAAAACAATAACACATACATTATATATATTTACACGCGCGCGAGCNCACACACATATGTATACAAAATTATAAAAATATGTATGTATATAAAAGAAGATATGATTTTTTTACATGTGTTTGATGTAATTATTAGTAAACATCTTACTCGAGCTGGTTCTGAAACAAAATCACCATCAGTATCGCCACTTAGAACATGTAGAACAAGAGCTAGTTCTGTTGGTATGGAATCAGCATCTGTAAAACGTCAAAGTCAATCTGGACCAATTAAATTACATAAACAGACAACCATGTTACCATCACATACCTTACTTAGAGAAGATAGTGAAGACAATAAGTTGCTTTTATTGGATGATGTAATTGGTGAAATTGAAAAATATACAGAAGATAGTGAAGACAATAAGTTGCTTTTATTGGATGATGTAATTGGTGAAATTGAAAAATATACAGAAGATAGTGAAGACAATAAGTTTCTTATATTGGATGATGTAATTGTTGAAAGTGAAGAATATACAGGTATATTCTTAATGCTCTAGCAGGATTCTTCATACTTTAAAGTTAGCATTTATTATCCTAATACATATATTTTAAGTTTCTCTAGTTAATTTCCTATTATTATTTGGCAAGAGTGTGTATGACATATACTTCAAATCATATTCTTTCTATGCATACAGAATTAAAGCTAGAAAAACACTAAACAACTTAAGCAGTCAACCAATTACACACTAATATTCTCTCACATATAAGTTATTTTCTAGAGAATGCAGACATGTGATTGATTAATTTCTTTAATGTCCAAATTTTACTGCTTTTTGTGTGTGTCATAACTGTTGCAAATATATGATAATGTAATGACAGCACGAAGTAGATATTTAAGTTGTTGGGATCTGTCACTTTAAATGTATGCAAAATGAAAGTATGAGAAATTCTGCTATCTTCTCATGTTGTGTTTTCTATCATATTTTCGATTGGTACAAGTTGAATCACTCTGGGGCGATTAATAATATCATTTTGGCAAATGATCAATCATATTACTTAAGAGGCGTTTAGGCAGTGCGTTTACGCTAACGCTAGTTCAGTTATTTGAAATGCTATTATGGCGCTCATAGTACAAAGTTTTTTGAACAACTTTTATTGTATTGTAAGTGTAAAAAATATGGCGAACATAAATGAAAATAACTGTATTGACTTGGCATTACAACGGATTGCAATTGTGGAATCAACAAATATTGAATATAAGTAAATAAATAATACGTGTACTTGTTCAAGTTCAGTAGACAATAATTGCAGAAAATATTTGCACATAATGTTCAAAGAGCACAGTTTGGCGCTATAAACGCTATTAATATATCATGTCTTATCTTCGCTGCTTTCTTCAGGGAGCACACTATCTACGCTATTTCATCACTCTATCACTTATTAGATATAAAACAAAGATAGAATGACGCGATTTGTACCAATAGCGTGCTCCTTGAACGTTCTTTGAAGCTCTCATCTTGAGCATGATTTAATGCGAGTGATAACGTCGCAATGTAAAAACATTGACATCAGCACTAATCTGGCTGCTGTTCCGATATTCACTGCCAGTACTGAAAATCTATAGGACATGTTACGTGAAGTATAGATTTTTAGCACTGGCAGTGAATATCAAAATGCAGTCTCTGTTAACATTATAAAGCAGTTTTACAAACAATCGAAGTGTTTATCGTCAAAAGCACGCTGCCAAGACGCAGTATCAAAATGATGTCATTGATTACTCTAAAAGCAATTCAACCTGTACTGGTCAAAAACGCTATATGATTATTTATATATGTATCATTATTTACACACACACACACACACATTGTGTGTATGTTATAAATATACACATACAGTATAGTATAACAGTTACATGAATTTCCTTGTATATATATATTATAAATATATACATACAAGAGGTTTGTTCGCGTCGCATGCTTCTATTCGCTCCAACGCGCTTTTTTTCAATGAAACTTTAATGAAACTTCAAAACTTTTTTAATAAACTTTTTCAGTAAAAAAGTCGCACTCAATGCGTACTAATGCAGGCTACCGAATTCGTTGTTAGGGCGCGTTGGGGCGAGTAGTAGTTTAGATATCTCAGAAATTATGGCATCGATTTTCAAGTTTTGGATTAAAAATATGGTTCTAAAGGACAATTCAAATATGAATGGAAGTTGCTTTGCCTTTATCTCATGAGTAAAGCAAGAGTTAAAATGTTAAATAGAAATCCCTATCAAAAATTAATTTTTAGATTCTATGAAAGAAAACAACTTGGTTTTATCCGAAATATTTTTTTGTCAGATGGTTTTATGAAAAAATATGAAATAAAAAACGGTTTGAAGTTTCGAATTATAGCTTCTTGAAGCACTCGGGAATAACCACATAATAAAAAAAACACGACGCCTGCGCTTTCGTAACTCTAGAAATGTTATTAAATGTTAAGAATACTTAATTACTTTGGATAAATAAATATCTACCATGAATTTGTAAATATTTCTTCGTCTGAAGTAACGAAGTATTTCCAACATTTGATAGCATTTTAGAAATTATTAAAGGGCAGACGTTGTGTTGGTTTTTTATTTTATGTGGTTAATCTCAAGTGCTTCAAATAACTATAAGTCAAAATTTCAGATTTTCATTTGTTTCATAGAACCATCTGACAAAAAAATGTTCAGATAGAACTAAGTTATATTTCTACATAGAATCATAAATCAAAATGTAAATTTGTATAAGCAGAAGTTTCTATTAAAACTTTTAAAGTTATCCCTTGTTCCATCCACGCAGTTTGGAAACCATCTTCCATTCACATTTGAAAGAATTTTAGAATCAAACAATTCAAGATTTCAAAGAAAAGTGAGTAAAAATAATTTTTACCTTTCGTGTGCGGTAGTAAAATTTATGATTATTAATAAACAAATGTATTCTGGCTATTGAAGCAAAACACTGTTGTTGATGTGTGAATATTTAAATCAGTTTATTGAAACTTACTAGCATTAACGCTTTCGACCTTGTATTAGGTCCTTCTCAAATGCATTTCTACAATTAAATTAACATAAAATCAATTAATGAAATTTAAAAATTAATTAAAAATCGCAGAATAAATATAATATACAATAGTCACTTACAAATTACTTTGGTAATATACGTCGCACAGTGCTGATCGAGAAACCTGGCAATCCTCTCAGGATCATTATTTCTTCAATTAATAGTCCTTTACATAATCTTGCAATATTTTTACACAAAATAATTTCAAAAAATCTTCAACCTCCGTCGAGTTTTGTTTATAATAGCTTTCATCTTGCTAGTTTAATCTCTAATGTAACTTTTGCTGAAACTTTTGAGCTTATTTCACTCGACGTTGTATCTCTTTTCACTAACATTCCCATTGAACTTGTAATTAGTGGTTTGGAAAAGAGATGGCATTTAATAACACATAATACAAGTTTACCTAAAGAAGAATTTTTTCTAGCAGTCAATCTAGTGTTTAACTCTACTTTTTTTCTGTTTAATAATAAATATTACAAACAGACCTTTGGTGCTCTTATGGGCTCTCCTCTCTCTCCGATTCTGGCAGACATTGTCATGCAGAATCTTGAAACATCCATTTTTGATTCTCTCTCCTTCTGTCCACCTTTACATGTCAGATACGTTGATGATATAGCTCTCATGGTTCCTAAAGATCAATTTGATGCTGTTTTAAATCTTTACAATTCTTACCACTCACGACTTCAATTACCATAGAGGTTGGTGGGGATAGACTCAATTTTTTGGACATTACTATTATCAAAAATAATAATAGATTAATACACGACTGGTATCATAAGCCAACGTTTTCTGGTAGATACCTGAACTATTTTTCCAACCATCCTATTTGCCAAAAAAGAGACTCAGTCATCAGCCTCGTGGACAGAGCCTTCTTTTTATTACATCCTAAATTCCATTCTAAAAATTTTGACTATTTTTATTTATTAATCGACAACAATTATCCGATGGACTTCATATATGATATTTTTATCCTTAGACTGAAACAGAATTTCTATAAAAATAATGATATAAGAAGGTTTTTGTCTAACAATAACTCTAATGATATACAGCGTCACTGGTTTGTCATGCCTTACATTAATAAATTTTCGGAAAAATTTTTAAAAATATTTCCAAAAGACTCACATACGCGTTTAGCTTTTTATAACATTGACAAACTGGCTAAATTCATCAACGTTCTTAAGGATCCTTTACCTCTTCTCTCACGTCCTTCTGTTGTATATAAGATCAAGTGCCGTGAATGTGAAGCCTCGTATGTAGGACAAACTGGCAGAATGTTACAGGCCAGAATTAAAGAACATAAAAACCACATTAATAGAAATTCCACTCAAAAATCTGAAATAACTGACCACAGATTACAATATTCACATGATTTTGAATGGGATAAGGTAGAAATATTGGATTATGAGAGATCTTACAACAAACGGTTGATATCAGAAACGCTACATATAAGAAGTCAAATCCGCGGGCTTAATTTACAGAGCGATACGGAAAATTTAGACAATTCATATTTACCGTTTGTCGATAAGACATCATAAAGTGTTATGTTATTTGTAGATTTGACTTCTATCTTTATACACACGTTTGTTTCTCAGTCGCGTTTTCTCTTTTGTAAAGTGTTGGTCGGGTCGGCTTGTGCGACATGGACATTCTCGATCAGCACTGTGCGACGTATATTACCAAAGTAATTTGTAAGTGACTATTATATATATTTATTCTGCGATTTTTAATTAATTTTTAAATTTCATTAATTGATTTTATGTTAATTTAATTGTAGAAATGCATTTGAGAAGGACCTAATACAAGGTCGAAAGCGTTAATGCTACTAAGTTTCAATAAACTGATTTAAATATTCACACATCAACAACAGTGTTTTGCTTCAATAGCCAGAATACATTTGTTTATTAAAAATTCTTGAAGCTACATACACTTATCTTTACATATTTATGATTATTGTTGTTGGGATTCTACAGAATGCAAAAAATCTATTTTTAATATGGAACTTGAGTATTCTCTTCTTGTTATTTTATATATCTATTTTTAAGTATGGGAACTTGGTGAGACATAAAGATGGAATATTGAGATATCAATTATTCGCAAATATTGTAGTATTATGATATCTGGCATCTATCTACGCTTCAACCAATCTTTGCAAAATATGGGACAAAAATATTTTTGGATTAAGGGCTTATTCACATTCAGCAACATCAGCTCATTCTTGGGGAGAAGGGAGGACTTGAAACAGTGCAGAGCACTGTCGATGAATGTCAATAAGGACCTGCCTTTGGTCCAAAAGTAATTTTTAATCGTGATACTACAATGATATTTGCAAATTATTGATATCTCAATATTCCATCTTTATTGCCACGTTTCACCAAGTTCTCAGATTTAAAGATAAGTTTTTCACATTCTATAGAACCCCAAACACAATATCAACATGAATTTTACTACCCGTAAAAAAGTGCAAAAAATCGACCTTTATTATTCACACTTTTAAAAATATAGTTTCCGAAATATCGAGCTGGAAACAGTTATATAAACTACTCTCTCTCTCTCTCCTCTCTCCCCCTCTCTCTCTCTCCTCTTCCTCCCTCTCCCTTTCCCTCTCCCTCTCTCTTTCTCTCTCTTTCTCTCTCTTTCTTTTTCTCTCTTTCTCTCCCCTTTCCCTCTCCCTCTTCCCTTTTCTTTCTCTGTGTGCGTGCGTGTGTGTGTATGCACGCGCGCATGCGTTTGTATAGTATTTTATAGTAACAATAATATCAGTAAAAGTTATAACATTTGGTTTTATCAAATGTTTAGGAAACTCGAGTTCTTCACTGGATAAGACATTACATATTGGTGAAAAAGATAAGAAGAAAAGTCTAAGTAAGTAAAGTTTGGAAAATTTTGTATTATATGTAAACTTTTCGGTAAATATACCGATAAGGGAAGCAACTTGTGACAACCCTGATTTTGACAAATATTATCAAGGTGGCTCTGAGTGACCTTCAAACGGTTTTAAGTAATGCTCGGTGTTCATTAAAAAGTTATTAACAAAAAATGATACCAGTAAATTTGCATATTAGGAGAAACTTCACCGTTTTCAATGACCTTGACATACTTATGTTGTCGAGAACATGTTTCCGAGTAACAATCGAAAGGTTTTGCCTTCGCTCGTTCTTCGTTAAAAAGTTATGGATGAAAAAAGTTTCAGTAATGAATCATCGTTCTCGATTCACCGGATATAGTTCATACATAATATATGATATTTTAGAATATAATAATGTATTTTATATATAAATGTTTAGTATAAAATAAAGAAAAATTAACACGTTGAGTGTCGTAGGGACCACTGATCACCGGCGCTCGACTTGCCAAGTGTGCCGTGGGCGTCATCGGTGATCGGCAATGCCACAAGTAATAAAAATACATAATTTAAGTAAATCACAATACTTTAAAAATTTTCAATTATATCATCGGTATTAGAAAGATGAAAAGAAACTAATGCATCCGATACCAAAATAGTTTTATTTATATCGTGTTCATCAAGTTATACTCTTTAAATAAAATTATACGTGCATGTTGTGATGTGTCGTATTAAAACACGGCAAACAGAGAAAAGGCGAATTGCTACAATCTTCACAGTATGTGAAAACTTTTTTTTGTCTGATTTTTCGCTTTTGTTCTATCTAAGTTTTTGCGTTTTTTTTTTTCATCTTTTACAAAATCGGCAGGCGGTTCTGACTTGTTCCGGCATTTCTTTTATTTTGTGACGAATTTTTAGTGGACTCAAATTTGAAGAAACAAAACTGTCAAGGTTGCTATTTCGACATTTTGTTAAGTGCATCAAAGAATGAGCGAAATAAGAAACAATTGTGACAATGACTTTCGTAAACAATAAGTAATATTGCGTCAGATCGCACTACAGCGCTGCAGGGGTCACCGGCAGTGTTCTCAGTTTTCTCTCTACAGCATGCTGCAACGGTAGAAGAGATGCAACAAATTCTCATGCAGTTAGAACTCGCTGCTGTGTGTTGTGCGCATTCAAAACCTCCACCGCTTTAGCATGCTGTAAGAGAGCCAAAACTGAGAACACTGGTCACCGGTGACCTCCAGTAAACTAAATGCATAAAATATTATAATGAAGGTCAATTTATCTATTGTAGATAATATTTTATAAAAATATGCATTGCATAAGAAAAAAAATTCATCCCGGCGCCGTGAGGAAGTCACGCAAAATTGGCGTAGCACTCAACGTGTTAACTATGAAAATTACGATAAGCTTGGAAAGTATAGAGGAATGTACTATGTCGTGCTGTGTCAGAAGAAGTATTTCTCGGAAATTTCTCCTCCGGCCATGGGCGTCTGCAAGATTTTTTTCAGGGGGGCGGAGCAATTTTTTCGTTCCAAGAATTATAAATTTTACAGAAAAGTTTCACTGTACAGAGAGTTTTCACGAATAGATGTATGATTTAATTTGTTAACCAGGGATTTCAAACTTCTTTCAAGATAAAAAACACAATTTGTCAAAAAACTTGCCTCTTCAGGGGGGCAAATGCTGAGTTTGCCCCCCCTTCGGACGCCCACGCCTCCGGCTGCTCCTACCGCGCGCCGTTCTCCTTCGGTTTCCTTTGGGCCAGCGGCCCGAGATTGCATTTCTCTACATGCTTATGTGGGAGAGCACATAAAAAAAAATATAAAACTTGGGAATATGGAAAGTATCAATGCTGAAAGTACTGCTTGGAAAGTGTATGCCTAACAGAAACAGTGGCTGCGTTCGGGGAGTACACTATCAGTGCTATTGCGTCATTCTATCTTTGTTTTACATCTAATGAGCAATAAAGATAGAATGATGCAACAGCGCTAATTAGCGCGCTCTCCGAACGCAGCCAGTATGTTTTATCCCCTCCCTGCCCTTACAGGAAGTAAAACCGTAGTTCAGTTATGAAACTTTTTTCGTCGATAACTTTTTAACAAACAATGAGCATTGCTTAAAACCTTTTGAAAGTCACTCAGGGCCATAATCTTGATAACATGTCAAAATCAAAGTCATCAGAAGCTGCTCCCTTCATTGTATAAATTTTCTATTATATTACATATATAAATATATATAATTAATCTTTGTTATAATTATTTGAACCTAAAAAAGATTATAACGTACATATATTTTATTTGCAACAGATACAAAACAATATAACTCTGAAGAATGTTTATTGCATGATGTTACTATAACTGAAGATATTCCAAACAAATCTCCAAATGCTCTAAAGAAAGACAAAAACGATAAACTAGACATTAAAATAAGTAATTTGTCAGAAGTTCAGATATCACTGATTGATATACGTAAAAACGAAAAAGAGCTTGGAGTTAAGATAGAAAATATTTTGAACACTTCTATTGAAGAAGAAAAGAGAAGTCTTGGTAATAAAGAAAACCAAACGCTGAATATTACTAGCTCTACATCAATAGAGAAGAATGTGCAACCTATTAACACCATGCCATTATTAAATACTGATTCTTTAACTTCAACTGTAAATATAAATAAAACATTAAATGAAAAGGAAAACAAACCTACCTTAATACTAAATGAGGTAAGCTTGGATAAACAGCTTGATTCGAGATCATCAATAGAAGCTTCCGTAAAACATAACGCTTTATTACAAGATATTGATAGCAATGTGGAAAAAATGAATATTTCTATAAATTCTTTAACTTTAAATCTAACTGATAACAAAAATAATTTGGATACATCTTTAAGAAGTGATGCAAGTGAGAAACGGAGTTCACATCATGATGTGGATAGTAAATCATCTGTAGATAATACAAATAAATTAATTTTGATAGAAAATGACACTATAGAATTAAGTGATAAATCCATTATTGCAAAAGAAACGTCCATTGAGAATAAAAGTGAACCTTTTGAAGATATAATAGAAGAAGCTTTCAATAAATCGGATGAAAATAAAGATTCAAAAAAATCTATTGTGACTGAAATAAATGAAATGTCAAATTCATCTATCAACCAAATACCGGATAAGTGGGATAGCACAGAAAGTTTAATTTTTATTCAAACTTTAGATAACAACACCAAAATATTAGAACAAAGAAGTCCATGTTCAAGTACAAACGAGGTTTCATCAATCGTAGACCGACCTATTGCTAATCACTCAAGACAGTTATCAAATGATGCAGAAAACTTGCCATCAAATGATAAAAGTTCTGACGACGACCAATCTATAATACAGTCAAGTATATCCCGAGATGATGTAACTAATAATTCTCCCAAAGAGAAACAGAAAACTCTATTTGAACAAACGGACTGTGTTTATGTTGTTCCGGAGATAATAAATTCTTCGTTTAAAAACTTGAATGCAGATAATACGATACAAGACACTCAATCTCCTGATATTCTAAAACTTTCCGAAAAGTCTGTAACAAAAATTGCTGAAGACAATTCGGATCTCGATATTGGTATTGAATTATTTCAAGATGTTCCTACTGAAAAATGGGGAAAACAAAAGATTGAAAAAAACGATAAAGTTGAACCCAGTTCTCAGGTAACAGAAAAACTAGAAACTAGAAACTCAGAAAGACTAGAAACTCAGAATTGTGATCTTGTTTTAGTAGACAAGCAAGCATGGTATGAAGCTAAAAACATGGAAGAGACAAAAGAGCAAAACTTATTGGAATATGATTCCGATACTATATTATCAAAAAATCAATTAGAAACTGCAAAAACAAGTTTTAGTGATGCTAAAAGATTGAGCATTTTAAATCAAAAAACGGATCTCGATAATGAAAAAACCAAAACAGTTAAATTGAATAAAAAGAAAAAATTATTGATTAAAAGAAGATCAGCATCTCAGAAATATAAGAATTCCTCAAGTGAATGTGAAGAAGAGGAAGATAGTTTGAGTATTGCTAATAAATCTTCAGAACAGCTAGAGACAGCGGCATTAAATCAATGTAACACTTCAAAATTATTCAAATCAGAACGAGCAAACATAACAGAACAAATTTTTCAAGTGCATGATATATCTAATAAAGAAATAGAAGATAATACAGATAGATCGCAAAGAAGCCTATCAGCGAGTGAGAAAAATACACTTTTGCAAAAATCAACGGAAAAGAGAGAGTCCTTGAATAAGTCTATGAAAGACACACCTTCAAAACAGAGTAATATACAAGATCTGTATATAAATCAATCTCAAATACATACTTCAGAAGAAGACTTCGATAATGCAGATGCACATATAAAGAAAAAAGCGAAGAAAAAACGGTCTTTGAATAAATCAAATAACATAGATAATAATATTAGAACTGCATGTAATAATATAGTAACTGAGAAAGGAAACATCTCACTGAGCAAAGATAACATTGAAGAAGACACAATTGTACTTACACACTGTTTGATAAATAAGAAATCAAAAGCACTGGATATCAACAAAATATTACCAGATTTGAATGATGAAATCAGTAATAATGTAAACATAATACGTACTATAGATTTAGGATTTAAAAATAAATCTACATTGACAGTGGCAAAATTACCTTCTGATACTGACTTCTCGGATAACAATGAGAGTGCTATACCACAGTTTCTTTGTGCACAAAGTAGCGAAGATAATAACAAAGATGATAAGGTAGATGACAGTATAGATCCAGATATTAAGAAAGAATACAACTTGTTTGGAATGAAACAAAAATTTTCTGATGATGATGCACTTGCTGATGAATGTAGAGATTCGGAAGTAGAATTCTCAAATCCTGATGACCATGGTTCAGATCTTATAGATTTTATAGTTGATGATGATGATGAGAATATACAAAATGAGAAAAATGAAGAAAATAAAGATGTAGAAGATATAGAAGATAATAAAGACATCGAGAGTGAAGAACAATATATGATAAAAGATAATGAATTTGAGAAGAAAGAAGCAAACTATGATCAACAAACATGCAAAATTATAGAACACTGTATGGAAAGTAACAATGAAGAAGATGTGAATGAAGAGAATGATAAAGAAGATGCATATAAGATGAACTCGGTAAAAATAAAAATTACTGATGTTACTAAAGGACTTAAGATCAATAAAAATAAGAAGAGTAAGAAATCACCTAAGACTATTTCGTCTAGTAGTGAATCAAAAACAAAACGATATGTCGAAGCGACAAAATCACCTGTGAACAAAACTGAAGAAAATATTTTATTGGATGTATCAACTCTGACTTCGTCGTTCGAACAAAAAAAAGAATTAAATCCACAATGTTCTTTAAAAAGGAAAGCAGAACAAACTTTGACTAAACAAATCAACACGTCTGCAATAGAATCCAAAAAGATTATCAGACCATCTGTTGCGATATTAGGATGTAGTACACCAAAACTCAATTTACAAAATAAAAAATCTCAAACTGTAGTTTCAGAATTACAATCTGATAACTCTAGTAACGTAGAAATAAAAAAACGTGTAACATTTCAAGATATAGAAACAAACAATCAAACTACGAAAAAGAATTTGAAGAAAAACATTAAATTAGATAAAATAGATAAATTAATACAAAATACTTTATCTAACAAGAAGAAATCAATGAAGATCTCTGAAAGAGATATTAATTTGGACAAATTAAATTATACGAATGGTAAGAAACAAATATTAAATGCCAATTCTGCTAATAATGCTATACAAGAAAGTAGTCAACAAAAAAAAAAAAAGCGAAAAAGACAAGAAAAAGAAATGTGGGATGAAGATGCCACTGATGAGCTTGTGTTACAAGAAATGAAAGAATTAAATATTCCTAAAAAGAAAAGATATGTTAAAGTTGATTCAATGCAAACTAGAGATTTGAAAGTAAAATCTGAGAATCTAGAGCCTAATACAGTACAATTACAAAATGCTGAATTAAAATCTACTTCCTTTAAAATGCAGAATAAAGAAGATTTTTCTACAAATAATTACAAAGTTTTGAAGAAAAAAAGTAAACAAGAGATAGAAAATAAAAAAATTTTATCACAAAAATTATCAAAAAAGAAAAAAAAAGAAGATAATACTTTGCCATTACAATCTGAAGCTATGGAGAAATCCGTTATTTTAAAGTCTGACAAACGTGCTAAATCAAAACTAACCCACTTTACTGAGACACAGAATGAAGAAACAATTTCATCAACAAATAATTACATGACTACGAAAAAGAAAGAGCGAAAGACAGGGAACAAAAAAGAAACTTGGTTAGAAAAACCATTAAAGAAAAAGAAAGCAAAACAAATACTGCCATTAGAAATTGGAACTCCAACATTAAAAGAGCAAGAAACAGACAAGGGAACTTCGGCAGAAAAATTATTAAAGGAGAAAAAAAAAGCAAGAAAAATTCTTTTATTAGAAACTGAAAGTGCGACATTCAAATCCGATCTTCAATCAAATAAACTACGATCACAAAATTATGTACCAGATCTTGTTGGTTTTTTTAAATTATCAGATGAAAAGAAAGATTTATCTATAGTAAATTATAAGGATATGCATAAGAAATTTAAACAAAAAAAATTAAAAGAAAATAAAGAATATTGTCTAGACAAATTGTCAGAAAAAAAGAAAGAAGTAGAAAGGACTGCGGAATCGAAACCTGAAATTTCAAAATTAAAATCTGATAAAAAAGTAAAATCTGGCAAACTACAATTACATAATATTATGTTACACAGTAATAGATCAAAATCTAGTTTTGAAGCACAAGATAAAGCTTTAAAAGATATACATACTACAAATTGCATTACAGCTAATGAAGAATTGAAGAAGATAAAAAAAAGAAAATTACAAGATATTGAAACTAATAAAGATCAAGATAAAAACGAGATACCTGTCAAAAAAAAGAAAAAAGAAGGAAAGATAAAAGAAAAGAGTGGCCTGTCATCATCGACAGAAACTCTGAAACGACTTCCAGATAGTGTGATTGTGAATCTTGCAGAAGTGCCAAAAAAAAAGAGACAAAAAATTTCACGAGACGAAGAACAAGTAACACCGGAAAATACAGAGAAGTTGATGACAAATGAGAATTCCATTCCTTCAAACTTCTGTAATAATCACATTTCTCGAATCAATGTAGTAAGCTTAAAGAAAATTAAGAAACAATCGTCAACTGGAATCGCAACAGTAGTTTCAGCCAAACGACATATCTCTAAGAATCGGGAACCTATTTCAGCTTATATATCATATCTTCAAAAACAGCGCGCAGCATCTAAAAACAAATTCAGTACTAATGCATTTTAAAAATATATTATTCTTTAATTATATAAATATATTAGTATTCTTTATTCTAATATTTGTGATTAAAATAATATTAAGAGCACATTGATTAAAGCAACTTTTTTCTGTGTATTAATAGTAAAATGCTTTGCTTCAAATTTATCTCACAAATTGCATTATTAAATTACATAATTTTCAGAAATAAAGTACATTTTTCATTTTTAAAATTTTATGTAGAGATTCATTAAGTTCTTTTTTACTTGAAACACACCACAGATAACTTGCTATTGAATAATTTTTGTAAGTTATCACTTGCAAATTTTTATGTATGTTTCAAAACCTAGTATGTAATTTTACAATATTATCAAAAAATAAATATAAAAAGTAAACTCATAAATATTTAATTTTTGAATACAACATAGGCTGTATTCCAATATTTACTGTCAGTAGTAAACATCTATTCATGTCATAGGCCCTATAAGCATAATAAACAAAATATTAGAAGTAGGAATAAGTATTAAATAAGAAATTTGAATTATTTCTTTACAAAACATGAAAATAAAATAAATTAATACATCATAAGTTAAAAAATAAAAATTTGGAATAAGTAATTATTTTGGTTTTTTGTTTGATGTAACATTATTTCAAATTCCTTTTGAAATTCGCTGATATGTTATAACAAACTTTTCAATAAAAAAAGTCGCACTCGGTCACTCAGTGCTCACTAGTGCAGGCTACCGAATTCATTGTAAATTTCCATAATGGCAGTAAATATTAGAACGCAGCCTCTATTGATTAGGGCCTGAGCACAATAGAGAAAATATTAGAAATAAGAATTAGAAATAAAAGTTAAGCCCCTTGCACAATGGACGGAATAGCGATAGCGATAGAAATAACAAAAGTTTTAAAGAGTTTATATTTAAAAATAAAGGTAGGAACAGCGGAATCTAACATACAAAACTACACATGTATCAATGCAGATCAGAAAATCGGAATAAGCAATAGCGATAAAATTTCCGACAAGTTGGAATTCTGTGTTAAAAACTGTGTTATTTCTATCGCTATCGCTATTCCTTCCATTGTGCAAGGGGCTTAAAACTGATGTTATTTCTATCGCTATCGCTATTCCGTCCATTGTGCAAGGGGCTTTATTCCTACCCAGCAAACATTTTGGTTACAAAACCATATCCATCTGTGTCCTCAGTAGGATATGGGTTGGTAACCTGTCTGTCAACATGTGAAATGTCAAAATCATATATGTAATACTTCTATATTGCTAGTACGGTGCCGACCTGAAGTCCAAATGTTACGGTGTAGACAATATAGTAGCCTCTCTCTCTAGCTGCTTTGTGCGCATGCGGTGAACATTCAAGCACGTTTGGGCATTTCTCTTTCTCGCGTTCTTTCCAATGCTTTGTCTCGCTCGCACTCGCTTAGTAGACGCGCCTGCGCATAATGACGCTCGACTATCTATGCTCATATTTGGACTTCGTGCGTCTCTCTTTCTCGGGCCTCGTGCCTCTCATTGCGAAGATACGCGACTAGCAATATAGAAGCAGAGAGAAATCTGAGAGCGGCCATCCTATTGTAATTTTTTACGACGGTTTCAGACGCTGGTTTTAGCCGTATTTCCACAAAAGTGGAACTCAAAGGCCGTTTTACATTAAACGCAAGTATCTGATCTCGTGGAATTGACCAATTGCAGAGTCAAATCAGCTAATCGACCAACGTGATTGATCAGTTCCACGAGACCTGCTACTTGAGTTTCATGGAGAACGGCCTTTGAGTTCCACTTTTGTGGAAATACGGCTAAAACCAGCGGTTGAAACCGTCGTAAGAAACTACAATGGCATGGCCGCTCTCAGGTTTCTTTCTGGTTTAACTATAGGATTTTAATGCTTCTGTTCATACGAAATTGCCGGATGCGTATAAACAGAAGTATTGAAATCCTATAGTTAAACTCTACCGGTTCCGGCATAAGTTAACAGTGGTCTAGTTTCCACCGAAACATTAATTCACACCTAATGCGACGTAGAATCAAATTTAATGTCGATGGAAATTTGTCAAATTGCGCTGATTTCGCTTCCGCTTCGATCTATAAGTACTCTACTTCCAATGGAAACGGAACACTAAATTTAATCCTTACGTGAGTAAAACCGAATTGAGGGTTTCGGTGGAAACTATACCAGTTATTGCCCGCATAAACCAGGCCTAATTTTGTGTATGATGGCCTTTAGGCCTGTTTTACAATACAGTTGTAAGCTGTAAGTTGTAAGAAATTGACCAATCACAGATAAATCACAGAAGAATAATCGATTGTGATTGGTCAATTTCTTACGACTTACGGCTTACGACTGTATTGTAGAACAGGCCTTAAGAGCCGTCTACAATGGAGAGTTGTAGGCCGTAATAGTAAGAAATTGACCAATCACAGACAAAGTACAGAAGAGAATAATCGATTGTGATTTGTCAATTTCTTACTNTTACGGCCTACAACTCTCCATTGTAGACGGCTCTTTACATGTGAAAAAATTTTAGCCGTAACCGTAAAATCGTAAGCAATTTAACCAATTACAGACCAGTATTGTCTTACATTAGTTGGAATGCTGGCCAGCGATTGGTCGATTTGCTTACGACCTTGCGACTACGTCTAAATTTTTGCTACGTGCAATGGCCTTGAACAAAATGGAACGTATTCTGCAAAGGTGGAACTATAATTGAAAACAAGGCTTACTCTTATCTGTCCAATTATGACGCACGAAACGTGACCGGCCCAGTGGTCTCGCGGCCTAAGTGCAGGGGCTGCGAATCCGGAGGTCCCGAGTTCGAATTCGCTCACCACCTAAGGATTTTTTTCCGGGCCGGTCCCTTTCAACTGGGTTTTCGGTTGATTGGCGAACTGAATCGGGCCTCCAAGAATTAATTCGGGTGTAATCCCGGATTAATTCTTCTCCCACAAGACGATCATAGTCACAATATCTCGAGCACGAGCCCGACACAGGCAGGGCGGCACGCCCTCTGTGAAAGACGGCCGTGTATCGCGTGGTAGTAGGAACGAAACTGCACAATTTAGATTTCGTATAAAAAACTACCTGTGGAAGCAGTACCCTATACATACTCTTCCACCAAGATTTCGACAGTAAAAACCTATGAGATTAAGCCTAAGAAAAACACTTGATTCGTAATTAAATATAAGCCTAATAGGATACACTCCTCTGGCATTTCTATACCCCTAATTAAAAAAAAAAAAATAATAACGCACAAAACTGTATTGTAGAACAGGCTTTCAGTTATTACTGGCAGTATAGATTTTCAGTCTGCCAGTAATAATCGAACAAGGTTACTAAAGGTTACGATCTGTAAATATTTATATCGGTAGTGTGACCAGTGTGACCGATAATACGAAATACAGTTATTCGCATCGCAATAATTTCATACATCTTTCCGAAAAGATTACTACATTAGCTATAAAAGAGCAGAATGATGAACTATTACCCTCGATTTCGACTTCTAGTTCACCTAATTCAATTACTGCTAATGTGTGTAAAGAAGTCAAAGTTCAAAAAACAGTAAAAGAATCATTTCTGAATATATGTGCTTATAAAGAAGGAGAAGAAAAGAGTCGTAAACTATTAAATGTATAAAGATAAAATGTATAAAGGTACATAAATATAAATAACATGTGTGATGTAATTTACATCTGACATTAATTTTTTATAACTTCAAGCTAATTAGAACAAAGGCAACAAATGAAACATGTAACGAACAATTATATAGACGCATATGTGTAAGGTATATTTTTAAAATTATCTTAATAAACCTGAAACTTCTTTGTTACCAAAACTTAACGTAAAAAGCTAAGAGAGATCGTGATAACGTTACACAGCCTTCTCACTTTATTAATAGTTATTAATACTTTCACTTTGGATCAGTTTGTTTCTCATGACACTACAGTTGTTGAAAACAGAACACATAAATTGCACATAATCAAAAAATAAAAACAAAGTCCAAGATTATTTTTAGCTCTATGAAATGAATTGTCCTTAGAACAGAGAAGTACTAAACATATGTAGAATACAAGCAAATATGAAAGAATAATGCAGAACAATGTCATAAAGGCGCTAATTTGTGTAAAGTACACAATTGTGTAAAGTTGATTTTAGAGATCAACTTAACACAAGCATGTGTATAAGTTTTAAAATTTTACATTAATTAAAACTTAAAATTTTAATACATAGCCTTTTTATCTTGAAGTTATTCATGCTTACATTTGAAAGCATTAATAACTTGAAGCACTAAAAAAATTCAAACAAAAAACCACAGCTTTACACAAGAAATCACATTTAAAATCAAGATTTTAAGAACGTTGCATTGAGATGTTAAACCCACTGAACTCTATATACACTGGAATGCGCATCGAAGAAAATTNATGGCACAAATTGATCAGCGCCATTTTTGTTTGGCCTGGTATTTGAGCAAATCAGAAGCGCGGTCCCGCTACAATGTGAATGACGGAGATGAAAAAGTAACAAAATAGAAAAAGTTTCTTCAGGAGTTTGTAGTAAGAAAATTACGTAAAATTAATAAACAAATTAATAAACAAATATGTATAAAAGGACTTTTGCTCGTTAATACAATATAAGTATAAATTTGCCCATTAATACAATGTAAAAATCTACCGTTTTTAAAATAGTAAAAAAGGCACAAAGTACACGCGCGCTAGTTACAAAATATCGTTGTATCTTCAAACAAAATGGTTTTATTTTAATTATTAAAAAATGCAAATTATAAAAAATTCAATCATTGCAAAAATTCATTCAATACAATTTCAATTATAAATACAATTCAATACAATTCAATATAATTTCATTTCAATTATAAAAAAATGCAATAAATATAAATAGTCAAAAAATATTTGGAAATGGGCCGATATGAAGTCAAATACAGGATGTTGGTGTATAAACAAACTTCTTTATTTATATATGTAATAAAATATAAATAGTGTGATAATTTATAAATGTAAATAGTGTGTTTTATTAAACAGTTTATACATTTAAGAAAATAGCAAGTCGCGATAGTTCCTTCCGTTTTCCAAGGTTTGTATTTGCTTCCGAAACTTTTTTTCCGCAATGATACATTTTAATCTTTATATAGCACAAAGATATTGTCTTTATTAGACTATGTAAATGATTTTCCTCTTCCGACGTATCAAACATATGATTGCGAAGTTCTAAAAACAAATTTGCAAACTCGGTTTACAAGAATTCATTTTCAGATTAGCTCCCAAACGTTCAGCCA